CAGAACTTCCATTGCCAGAAGTTCGTTAGTGGGGATCTGCATATCTTTGCACCATTCTGCGATTTCACCCTCTTTGTACTCCAGTTGCACAATCTTGCCCATTTTTTAATGTACCCTTGTAGTGAGTTTGATAGAAATTTCGGTTGTAAGCATCTGGTTGAGAAGTTTGAGCTACCACTCTAGCCAAGTCCTTCTCCTCCTCCCCACCCTCACAGACACAACATACCGTGCTTGAAATTTCCCCTTGAAACTGACAGGTACGCACATTGGGGTCTTACTTAGTTACCTGTATCCAATCTGTCTCTTTTAGGCCTTCTGGATTGTCTGGTGCTGGAAGATAGGTAACAGGGATCTAAGTGCACAAAATTTGTGTCTCTTTCCTCTCCATTGGATTCTGTTTATTCCACATGTATGATGACAGCTCCGCTTAGGGCTTGTGCGTAGCCCCTTGTAGCCCTGGTTTGAAATATCTTCCAACTTCGCCATACACAAGTAAGCAAGGGGAGGAAACTGTGGATATTTATGGACTTTGTTTAGACCTCCATTGACAGAATTAAATTTGACAACAAAGTACATACTTGATGTATCCAGTGTTGTTTTGACCTGTTTGACCCTGTCAAGAAAAAGGTCAAGTCAGGGTCAGTCAAGAATTGACCAGGTCAGTCAAAAGAGGTCAAGGGGTCAATGTCACGCAGAAATCACGTTGACCATGATGACATAATGTAATTCAGGACAACGTAGTCCCTATTACAAGCGTCAAGACAAGCGTAGCAATAATGACATTGGACACAGAAGGGGTACCAAATATGCTAGCTCAAAGTGGGAGGGCATGAGTGCTGAAGTGCTGAAATCTGTAAGCTGTCATGCCCTCAAAGTCGCATCTGTGGAACCACTCTGACATAAATTTCCAGAACAAACACACACATGCTAAAAAATATCGTGTCAGCATGTACATCTGAGCTAAGCAAGCAGCGGATCGTGAAGCTTGCAGAAGGGAAGAGTGCCAGCCTGAGTCAATCAACGACGGCACACTTGCAAGATAGCTCATGCTGACCTTTTTTAGTATCTCCTGAAGCTTCAACTGCAAAATCAGAAAAAGGGTTGGTAAGTATTCTATTGAATTCGAGGTAGCTACTTTATACTGAAGACATTTCTTGTACTTCAAAACTGAGTCTACCTTGAGTCTAACAAATCTCTGCAAGTGTAAATATGAGGCACCCTCTCAGCCCGCGCTTTCCTTTATCCCACGAAAACTCTTGACCCAGGTCATTCAAGAATCTTGACTTGACCCCCCTTTTTTGACTGACCCTTTGACTGACCCGGTCAGACCTGGGTCAATGACAACACTGGATGTATCTACAGAAAAAGCAGTCAGTGTACAGGGGGTTTAGCTCTGGAATTACGATACACGCCAGAAACAATGGGTGACTTCCTGTAACATAAATCTATATAAACAAATAAATCTGACCCTTATCGGAGTTTGAAATGGGTACCCTGGCTTGTGATTTAATCAAGCAAATAAACTGTAATGCCAACTGATTAGATTTATTCACCAGACATGAATAAACTTACTTCCCTCTCATCTGAGCTGTTTTGAGGACACACAGGCCCATGGATGGGTGTATTATAGTCAATGCTCAATCACATCAGCCAGAAAGTAGGACACACAATGAATGAAGCTGAGAAAATGTCAACTTGAGCTGAACATGCTGTGGTTCTGTGAGTTATGTGCTGAGAAGATTGTTTGTGGAAGGAAAAACAGCTTCGCAGAGGAAATTTTGGAACCAGAGGACATTGGCACTACTAATAAATTCTGTAATGGCTTCAAATTATAACGAGAGAGCAGACTGCCCTCAGCCGTAGGAGAGTAGAGAGGATGAGGTAGAGCTGACTAAGCTAGGTGGGAAGAAAACATACCCAGGAAGGAAAGGTGTCATGATAACAGGGTTGATTCCAGTATTTGAAATCTATTCGAGGGGTCTGTACCCTCTGAATAGATTAAGGTTTATAACTGGGTGCCAACCAGGGCCTCCACCAAAGTCGAACCCTTACAAGACTTGGCATCCTGGCAAAAGACCCTAGATCTCATTGATTTATTTAAATCTAGCGAATTTACTGTCATGTGACCATTACTGGGTCACTTTAGCTTAAATTGCAGATTGCATGCCTCCCTCTCATTGGGAGCACATAAAATTTTGCGAGTGAGTAGGAGGAAACATATACATATTGTATCTGTAAGTTTTATTCTGGAGGGATGCTTTTGGGTAGTGTTAAAATGCCTTGACCTGTTTGCCCTGAATTGGTCAACACCCATAAGCCAACTGTAAAATATTCTTAGACACCTCATATTCTCCTTATCTGATTTAAATTTTTGTGTGCAAGTTACCAATACCTCCACTGTAAACTTTCAAAAATATTTGTGTCAATAGAGGTAGCACTGTGGAGAGAAATGGTCATCAATTAGATAGACTTCCTTTGATGGGCAAACTTGGCAAAACAACAATATGACCATCTTATCTCCCTTATATCTCAGCTCATGCTCAATGTTCTATCCAATAAATCTCCACACACGGCCACATGTACATTGTCAAAGTCTGTTCAAAATTTCAAATGCATAGCATGGATCGTTGTGGTGCTATAGCTTGTTGACCCGTTAGTGCTGATGACCCGTTAGGGGTCACATGACAGTATGTTACGGGAAGTCACCCAATGAGGACCATTCCTCTGCGTCGATTTCCTGAATTTGTGAACCCTGTAATCTTCACCGGACCCTGGAATAAAATTTGTTGATGTGCGTAACCAGTCCGGCTACAAGGGTCATGTGTATGTACGTACTCTCGGTTATCTTCCTGAATGTATAAAAGGACTGGGTTAGCTTTGTATTCGATAGGATTCCATTCCTCTGCTTACCTTACTACCCTCTCCTCCTTTCCCTCTCGATGGCGACACCTTTCACTCTATCTTGCTTGCTCATCGTCATCATCACCCCCGATTGGTAAGCCCTTTCGTTCACAATGTGTTTTTTGTTTGCTGATTGTCCTCCGCAGTCGTTGAAGTCGTCTGCGATGCCGCCCACGGTGAGTCCCCTATCCACTTCACCTCCTCGCTTTGCTGATATGCTCGCACGTCGTTTCAGGACTCTATTGGATGTTCTGAATACCAGGTCAGTGTCGTCGTGTAGCCCGCACATCACCAAAGATGATTTACATGATGTTTCTTGTAGGGGGAGTGGGTTGTTCGTCATTGTATGCTTCCACACCAAAAGTACGTCAGATTCACATTTCTCTTTTTATAACAGTTGCATACCTTGCCACAGTAAGTGCCCGATGTCAATACCTTGCCCGCCACTGTTCAGGAAGGTGCTAGGGCTGAAGGTACATTAGATCCTATATCGATTCTCAGTTTATCAACTTACCCGCGGTCGAAGTGATAGCATCAACCATTCATGCGAGTTCTACATGAGGAGGTAAGTCGGTTATGATAAGGCCCAGTTACGAATGACTGGCGTGATGTCAAAGAGGACACAGCATGTCGACTTCCTCGTCAACTTTCGTCCGCGCCACTTAAGACCACCAGCGAGAAGTGGTCGAATAGGCCGGGAAGAATGTGTGACGGCGAAGCTAAGAGGTTGGGGAAGTTCTGGCCACGAACATACCTCAGGTCCTTCACGAACGATCACTGCCTTGACTTACCCGCATTGAAGCCGAAGCCCAGCGTCTTCGTTTCAATTGAAGCGGTTCTACAAAAGGTACGTGAGTTTCAATAATGGAGTGGTGCCGAAGATCACTCACCCAAACCCAAAGCAGAACTTCCCGTTCTGCCGCTCATCCCCTTCCAACCCATCATCACGCCCTTTCCACTGCCAACCCCCCACAATTTCGCAACGCGTCGCCATCCTAAACTAGGAGTGCTCGCCTTCCAGCCTGTGGTTTCGGACATCCAATCACGAACGTAAGTCGTTTCTCTGAGTTTCTTTGTCATCATAGAGTTTCATGCAGTCTGGGGAGTGGTGACACGTAAAGCGCTTAGCCAAGTGCTAGGCGACATCGCGTCAACATTGATCGACAAAGCTTTGAGTGCCGCCAGATGCAATTGCAACCGCAAAATGTGAGCTTGAAGGAGCAAGCGTCTTGGAGTAGGGAGGTTCGAAGTCGGCCCGCCCTAGTTTGACTGGAACGTCGTTGTAGATCAGACGAAGAAGGACCATTCGTATCTTCAAATCGGGATAGTCACGGATTCTGCCAATGACGAACAACCTCGAGAAGGCCATACGCTCTTTGAGAGATAAGGTGTACACTGCAACCGTGATAAGACATTGGCTGACTCCAGGTGAAGGCAGCGTTCACTTGTTTGGAAAGGTACGTGAGCGGTAACAGTGTCTATGGATTTGTAGATGACTTACACTGCCAAATGACAGGCATGTGAGAAAAACCTGAGAGTCAAACCCTGTGTGGCATGTTTTCCCACCTGTCAGGCAATAATGATCCGAGTCCACACCATGATCGAAATCCGACTAATAGCAGGGTGTGCCCAGGTCGATCTTGGCACTACCTGTCTGGGGCAGCTGGGGACCAGCTGGCAGCCCAGCCTACGTAAATTCACTATATTTTCAATATTTCTCCCTGGCCATATTTGTACTAGGTGTTCATGTTCTTATTTAGTCCATAAAATACAAGGGGCAAGGAGGAGGATGATGTTGGCCACATTTTCATAAGCAAGGATTATAAACAGGCTGCATAGTACAAAGGTATAGGGTGTATGGAAGGATGTGAGAAATGAGGCAGCTCCAATTACTACCTGTGTCTGCTCTTCCGTTCAAAATACATTCCCCCACCCGACCACCCTTTGCACTGTCTGCCGAATGTGCAACCACAAACAAGGCGCGTCAAAGCGGAGCCTCTGGCTCGTTGAATGAGAGGAGGGTAGCAGAGGGCAGATACCATGTTGAGACGTTGTCTGGAGAGCCAAGCTTGGGTTTGATGATGGTGATAGGCGCGTGTCTACTGCGGCTGCCGCTACGTGGCGCATGCAAAAGTGAACCTGTCCGGGAGAGTCAGTATTAGCAAGTGGCCACTTGTCGGGGAGGAACTACAAAGGGGCAATGGGCAGGAACAAAAGCCCAGAACAGTGACAGGTGGCGACCGCGCACAGACGCACGGGTGGGTAACAAGGACAACCAACGGAACAACATGAGGAGGATTACATGGGGCGCAGACCACTTGGTAGTGGAACACAGATGAAAACAAGAAATAATGAGGGGAGCAAGCAAGCAACTGGGCGAGAGACGGTTGTGGTGGAGAGGAAGGTGAGTTTGGTTCTGGTTGAAGTTTGGAAATAACCAAACATAGGGCGGAGTTTAAACGACTTGGGGAAATTTTGGAGAGTTTCTCGCACGGGCCTTTTCATGTTGAGCTCAGGATTCCATGTCTTTTCTACCTGTAAGAACTTGGAAGTGCTCAATGTATCATTTTATTATCTTACTATGAATAATTTGTATCTCAAGTACATCATTTCGTCGCCCGAAGAAAATTGGCGGTACAGGTCTTCCTGAGCAGAGTTGAAAACCTGTGGGTCAGGTGTCGAGCTGCTGGCTCTAACATTTACGCCCCAAGCTCCGACACACCTGCCCTCCATGCCAGGGCGACCTCCATCAGTAATCTGTCAAGCGGAGATTCATGCCAGATGCCATCAGCATTTTGAACAAATGGTGGTGTACCCAAGCTCGCAACAGCTCTTGTCAATGTGACATCCATCCTTCGCTAGTCAGCGGTCATCCTCTCAAATCCATTTCATCACCATCACCTACCTTCACTCAGCGCTCGCTAAACAGTCATCACCCCCCCCCCGTTCGACCAGCATGATGTCGTCGAATGTCATCGGTATCAGCGTAGCTAGCGACTTCAGCGCCTCTCTGTCCTTTAGGCTGTGTAAACCGCGAAGTGGTGCTCTTTCGGACGTTGTATTGGATCGGAAGACGTTTTGCTAGGTCATGTCATTGGTGTAGAGATCGTTTCTTGCAATCTAGGAGATCGTCGTGAATGGTATGGAAAGGTACGTGGGCGGCAACAATGTTTACCCAATGTCCAAACAGCTGCTATCGACGGTTCCTCCATTCATCCTCTCCGCCCGACTGGTGGCTACCACTTTTATCATATAAAACAGGTAACTGCCTAGAGGTCCCTGTGTATCCATCCACACTCTTTATGATAGGGAATCATTACTGTTACCATGTTTTTTCATTATCATAAAGGCTGCGCTTTTTCATTAAGTGTAGGCAAGGTTTTGGGCCTCCCTCATAAGGTAGCCTGTGGTTATCATTACCAATTTCATATCTTTTCAAAGCCATATCATTGCGATTTTCATTAGTTGTCTGGCGAGTATCATTGGATATTTCATTAGCTACATGGGTGATATCATTTTGCAATTTTCAATGGTTACTTTGGCAATATCATTGGAAATTTCATATGCTACTTGGGCAATATCATTGCGATTTTCATAAATTATGTGGCCAGTATCATTGGAAATTTCATTAGCTGGTTGTGCAATATCATTGGCAATTTCATTAGCTACTTGGGCGACATCATTGTGATTTTCATTAGCTACTTGGGCAATATCATTGCGATTTTCATAAATTATGTGGCCAGTATCATTGGAAATTTCATTAGCTGGTTGTGCAATATCATTGGCAATTTCATTAGCTACTTGGGTGACATCATTGCGATTTTCATTAGCTCCTTGGGCAATATCATTGCGATTTTCATTGGCTCCTTTGGCAATATCATGGGAAATTTCATTGGCTACTTGGGCAACATCATTGTGATTTTCATTAGCTACTTGGGCAATATTATTGGCAATGTTTAGTAATCAGGAGAGTGGTCACATGACCAAACTCCAAAAGGTGTCAAAAAACCAAAGTTGTAGCCCTGCACTGTAGCTTCCCAAATCTGTTTGAATTATGTTCTGAAGTGCTCCTGTTGTGGAGATATGAGGTAAATGAATGTCAAAAGTGTCGCGTTTTTTTTTGTTTTTTGTGTTTTTCTCCATGAAAACAAAACCAAATAACATAATTTCAGTATATTCAGAAAGCTAAAAGAAAGGGCTACAATTATTGTATCATGGGAAAAATGACCAAAAAAGGAAGGTGCATGCTCTACTATAAGAGTCAGATATAGATTTACTGATAGACTACAAAAAAGTCGGACTTAGACTACACAGTTTACTGATACCCTATAAAAGACTACAAAAGTCAGACTTAGACTATAAAGTTTGCTGATAGACTACAAAGTTTACTAATACACTACAAAAGACTACCAAATTTACTGATAGACTACAAAAAAGTCAGACTTAGACTACAAAGTTTACTGATAGACTATAAAAGACTACAAAAGTCGGACTTAGACTACAAAAGCTTAGATTTACACTACAAAGTTAGAGTTAAGGTCAAAAGGTTATCTTGACTACAAAGTTTGTAGTGTCTGCTTTTTGTCATTAGAAAAGTTTGTAGTGACCGCTTTTTGAGACTACAAAAGTTTGTAGTGTGCGCTTTTTCATTAGAAAGGTTTGTAGTGTCTGCTTTTTTTGTCATTACAAAGGTTTGTAGTGTGCGCTTTTTCATTAGAAAAGTTTGTAGTGTGCGCTTTTTCATTAGAAAAGTTTGTAGTGTCTGCTTTGTTTATCATTACAATGGTTTGTAGTGTGTGCTTATTCATTAGAAAAGTTGGCAGTGTCTGTTTTTTGGGACTACAAAATCTTGTAGTGTGTGCTTTTTTATTAGAAGAGTTTGTAGTGTCTACTTTTTCATTTAAAAAAGTTTGTAGTTGACATGTAGATTATGGTGTCTCCATCTATGTTATGGGGATGAGGTTGAAGGATTGCCATCATATGCCAGTGCTGCAGCATTAGTTTTTGGCATCATCCACAAGTTGTCTTTCACCTTGGGACTCATTAGTAAACTTTGTAGTCTATCAGCAAACTTTATAGTCTAAGTCTGACTTTTGTAGTCTTTTATAGGGTATCAGTAAACTGTGTAGTCTAAGTCCGACTTTTTTGTAGTCTATCAGTAAATCTATATCTGACTCTTATAAGGTAGACGACTTTCATAATCGACAAAGGTCATGTGACCGATGTGACAGCTGCTGAAAAGGGTAATGTTTCCCAAAATTTGACTATATGTATAATTCTAGGGGTCCTATTGTACCATAAGAACCTAGCTTTTGTAGATAAATATCCTGGACACGTGAATTAGTAAAAAAATTGGAAAAAAGTTCGGTTTCGGTAAAGGAGATAGAAAAATACAGTCAATACTAAGTGTCAATTTTGAAAATGCATAGGCTCAGTCAGTTTTTCTCCAAATTGCTCAGTTTTTTGCAGAGGGGTCGACATTAAGTAGATCTATCGAAACTAGGTCCATATTGCATTCCAAATCTAGTAGGAAGAGCTCAAATTATTTCTCAATTGTTTTATTACCCGATTTGATCAAGATGTAACGGCAAAGTAACGGCACGTGACGTTTGTCGATTATGAAAGTCGTCTACCTTAGTAGAGCATGCACCTTCCTTTTTTGGTCATTTTTCCCATGATACAATAATTGTAGCCCTTTCTTTTAGCTTTCTGAATATACTGAAATTATGTTATTTGGTTTTGTTTTCATGGAGAAAAACACAAAAAACAAAAAAAAACGCGACACTTTTGACATTCATTTACCTCATATCTCCACAACAGGAGCACTTCAGAACATAATTCAAACAGATTTGGGAAGCTACAGTGCAGGGCTACAACTTTGGTTTTTTGACACCTTTTGGAGTTTGGTCATGTGACCACTCTCCTGATTACTAAACATTGCCAATAATATTGCCCAAGTAGCTAATGAAAATCACAATGATGTTGCCCAAGTAGCCAATGAAATTTCCCATGATATTGCCAAAGGAGCCAATGAAAATCGCAATGATATTGCCCAAGTAGCTAATGAAAATCGCAATGATGTCGCCCAAGTAGCTAATGAAATTGCCAATGATATTGCCCAAGTAACTAATAAAATTTCCAATGATATTGCCAAAGGAGCTAATGAAAATCACAATGATATTGCCCAAGTAGCTAATGAAAATCACAATGATATTGCCCAAGTAACTAATATAATTTCCAATGATATTGCCAAAGGAGCTAATGAAAATCGCAATGATATTGCCCAAGTAGCTAATGAAAATCGCAATGATGTCGCCCAAGTAGCTAATGAAATTGCCAATGATATTGCCCAAGTAACTAATAACATTTCCAATGATATTGCCAAAGGAGCTAATGAAAATCGCAATGATATTGCCCAAGTAGCTAATGAAAATCACAATGATATTGCCCAAGTAACTAATAAAATTTCCAATGATATTGCCAAAGGAGCTAATGAAAATCACAATGATATTGCCCAAGTAGCTAATGAAAATCGCAATGATGTCACCCAAGTAGCTAATGAAATTGCCAATGATATTGCACAACCAGCTAATAAAATTTCCAATGATACTGGCCACATAATTTATGAAAATCGCAATGATATTGCCCAAGTAGCATATGCAATTTCCAATGATATTGCCAAAGTAACCATTGAAAATCGCAAAATGATATCACCCATGTAGCTAATGAAATATCCAATGATACTCGCCAGACAACTAATGAAAATCGCAATGATATGGCTTTGAAAAGATATGAAATTGGTAATGATAACCACAGGCTACCTTATGAGGGAGGCCCAAAACCTTGCCTACACTTAATGAAAAAGCGCAGCCTTTATGATAATGAAAAAACATGGTAACAGTAATGATTCCCTATCATAAAGAGTGTGGATGGATACACAGGGACCTATAGGCAGTTACCTGTTTTATATGATAACCAGTGGTAGCCACTAGTGCGATGCTTGGGTTGGCAGTGGAACAGCGAAATGTCGCACACTTGGCATGGGGGAGAGGGGACGGAGGACGAGCGTACGGGTGACATGCGATCAAGGAGATCAACTTCCGGTGGGGTGTTTGACGTCGTCATCGGGCAGGGATTGCTGCGTGGGTTTGAATCAGACGAGACCGCCGCAGATGCGTTTCATCTGCGTTGTGGAGCACTGTGGCTTCTCAGTAACGACGTGCTGCAGCGTGGTTTGGC